GTATAAATGATGCACTGGAAGGAAGAGTTCATTTATACAAGGAAAATTGGTCTAACTTATAAGCCTGGTGGGCTACTCCTCATAGTACTAATTGGTTTTGAGATGGAAAATGGTGCGTTATAGCCAGTTCCCACGTATGTTGACAATGATACCATGTAAGAAACGGGGGAAACGAGTGCGATCCTACACCGTGAAGCGCACTATAACAGAGTGAGTCTTGATGCACAATAGTGAGGTTCCATTCCAAAATTAATTCTCTCTCTACATTTATTCTCTCTACTCTGTAATTAATTCTCGTAAGAAACTCAAGGGTAATTGAAGTGCCGACCTCGATATCAGAGGCCGACCTCGTAATTAAGTAAAAAAGCCTGATTTTCTTATACGTCTTCCTTATTATTCCTTTTCATTCTTTCTTTTCATCACCATAAAACTTTATTTTAACCGTTGACTGGATCCGTCCATCAACAAGGTTCTTCATCTAAATTGGTAAAATAATTAATACAAATGTTTTCTCGCTTTTGGTAATAACCCATTTTAAGTTGATCCATGCTTTTTCACTTGTCTTCGTCCACTTGAATTCGCCCTTTTTCATCATTTATGTCAATGACTTAGCGATCGATCCATAATTCTTAACAATAGTACCAAGTTAGTCCCCAAGTATCCCCACAATTTTGTCAGACTCTTTGGCTTTTGCCATTCCTCCATAGATTTAATTTTTCGGAGATCAACTTTCACACCCTCATAAGAAATTATGTGCCCAAATATTCCACTGACCCTTGGCCAAGTGAATACTTAGATGGTTTAATACGAAAAGCATCATCCGCCAAAATTCTCAAAACCAACCTCAAATGCTCAATATGCTTTATCCAGTTTTATGGGTAGACCAATATATCAAAGAACACCAAGACAAATTTATGCAAGAACTCTCAAGATGGATATTGTAGTACTGAAAAGTCAGAAGGAGCATTACATAGACCAAACAGTACTAGCAAATACTTGTAGTGTCCTTGATGAGTACGGAACTCCTTCTTTGAAATATCCTCCCTTGCCACTTTTATCTGATGATACCCATCCATTGGTTCCGTTTCTACTTGTTCTTCCTCGTCAGAGTCCATATACTATATTAAAAAGAAATGTTTCTCTTCACATTTACGGTCGTCGTGAACTCTCGTCACAATTGAAACACAAACCCTTCTCCCGTCACTTCTGCATCTTGTCCCAAGATAAACGTCTAACTCCCGCGGGTATAGGCCTTGCACCTGCCACGCATGGCCTTTCCTCGGCCTTGCAAAATTCACTAATGGCCTAAATACATCGCTTCTAGATGGCTTGCCCTCTTCACAAACACCAAGTGTTCGTCACGCATCCGGGCTGCCTCTATTGTTGTTATGGTCTTTGGTCTTTAAAATCGTACCTCAGCCACCAACAAATGCGCCAATTAGCGCACCCTCCAACCACTTGTGGACGCGAATAGCTATGCATTCAAACTCCTTTTGGTAATCCATAAACTCCGGACTTGTTTTGATGTGTGAGAGTGCCTCATCATAGTCATGATAACGTAACGCACCAAACCTCGTAGTCAATTCTTTTTTCGAAGTTGTCTCCAACAGATCATGGTGTTTTTTTTCTTGTAAACTCTCGTTGAATCCCGATTTAGCCATGAATCGGGATCTGCCCCGTTGAAACCCAATAGGGTCACCTTGGGTTTCTCGATCTTGCCCTAACCCCATTGGTTCGAACCCCTAGAAAGATTATCCTTGTTGTCCGTGAATTCATTGTGTAATTTAGTCGTCTTGTCTGATTCCGATGCTCCGTCCGATGATGTAACTGAGCCTCTCCTCCATGCCCATCGATCTGCGGCTTGGACCATCATTTGCTCCATCCTAGCGACCACTTGATTTGTTGATTGTACGCCATCGTTGATTGAATGTACGCTCTCCTCCAAACGATCGATTCATTCTCGGTTTTACATGGTGATACACGATCGATATTTTCAATAAAAGCACCAATGATGAAGATCATATATCAAATATGTAAAACATGTGTAAACCCGCACCATTGGCCGTCAATTGACACGC